ATTGTCCCATATAGTGTTAATTTGATGTGAATGGGTATTAATAAATTGGGGAAAATGCTTGTTATGATCTATTTACATAATTTTTTTACAAATTATTGAAGTGTCAAAAAGAAAGTGAATAATTTTTTTTTTCTTTTTATCTGGTTGATAAGATTTCACTCATTTAAGTTTAGTCACCCCATCTGTCAGTAAACAAATCTGTAAATTATGATGTATATGTATCACAATTGTTAAAATAGTTATTGTATTTTCACTTTTTTGTCCTCATTTATTACAAGGAATCTGATATTGTAAATTTGCATGCGTCCTCACTTGTATTTTGAGAATAATCTTCAAGTTTGATGTCTATTCGCGGAATAATAAAAAAAGATTGACTAAATCATGCCCTTGGTTATGCAGTGAAAAATAATGCAAACCAAATTATTGCAATCTTTGTGGCCGATGTCCTCAATCCAAGTTGATTCTATTTTTGTCTTTTTCAAAGCAAGACGATCAAACAATCCCCAAAAATGGTCTGTGTATAGTTAGTAAAAGATTGAAAGAGAAAAGGGAAGGAGAAAGATGGGTTTTCTGGTTAAATTGGTACTATTTTTTGCTTTGTTCTTCATCCTATCAGAAGCTGGTTAAATTGGTACTATGTTTTGCTTCGTTCTTCATCCTGTCTGAAGCAAAGACAGCCGTTTTAATTAAAAGTGAGATATACGGTGAAAATATGACAGCACGCTGTTATTCAGGAGATGATGGTTCTGGTATCCATCTACTTTCATTTGGCAAAACATTCACGTTTCGATTCAGCCCAAACATTTTCTGGACTAAGTTTTATTGTACTTTTGGATCCAATCATGGCAGTGGAAACTACGCCGTTTATGATAGCCAAATACGGGACAGATGTGGTACATATTGTTTCTGAGTAGTTAGGTCGGCGGGCCTTGTTTAATACAGCCTCATAATAAAGACGTACGCCGGTGATGCCAACTGTGGAAGGATATCCTCCTCAGCCCAAACTGTTACCTTTAACCCGCCAAGGGTTGCTGAAGTTATAGGGGTAAAGAAAGGACTCAAATTTCATATTTATTTATCGAAAAGTCTCTACCTTTGGGAGTCTTGATAATGTAACCTTGTTAACTTGTTCAAGGAAATGAAATTGAGTACTAGTAACTCTCTCAATCGTTTAGTGTACTAAACATGCCCTTAGAGTTTATTCGTATGGGGGATATAGTGTTGATGCAATATTCGTAACTCCTAGAGCAATAAGAAGCATCTAAAATATACACACACCGAAAAATTGTAACATCTCAAAGCTATATACATCCGGATCAAAATTATTTGGATGAAAAATCTCTTATTTATGACCTCAAATTGAGAGAATGTCTGTGTCAAATTTCTTGCCATAAAACTAGGGATTAATTTGTCTTATCTAAAATAGGTCACCATTACATAGGTACGAATTTTCTTCTGTGTATAACGCCTCCAAATTTTTATGAGGCTGAAATACCGATCATCTGCTTTGGTTTTTTCAGCACAAATGTCTCGATATGGCATGGGTAGAAGCATTTATTTTGCTTCGGCTGCAGCATATCATAGAGCGATGAGGTAATTGAAAATCCAAAATTTTAGAACTAATGGCAGCAAAACATCAAACCCCTGCGTCCCACATGAATGTGAAATTCAAACTTGAAGGACCAAAGTTACATGCTGAAATAAGTATTGGCCAGAAGGACTCCATGTAAGCCCAGAGGGCTCCAAAATTACATACCTACAAGGACTCCACATGTGTCCAAAAGGATCTCGCTGCATGCTAGCATGTCCACAATCATTTGTACCAACACCGTGAAGACTCACCCTAAGCATAAAATGCCTCGGTCACCGAAGTATCATCTAGCAAAGACACACTCGATCCTAATACTTGGAATAAAGGCGTTGACCATGCCATTTTTTAGCGTATTCTAATCATCCATGCTGGTCCATTTATGTACATACGAAATTGCATGACAATTGTCACTAAAGCACAAATTTCAACGAAAATATTGAAATTTTGACTTAATCATACTTACAATATAATAATGAGTATTTCTGGAAATGGAAAAAGAGATGTAACTCCAGTTCCTTTAAAATAGCTAGTCAATCCTATTTTCGATAGGACAATTGACAATTTAACCCTATTTTGACAATTATTTTCATATTTGTAATAGTGCGAAAAGAAGGCTCGACTCCAAGTTATTCAAGAATAGTGGCGTTGAGTTTTTCGACCCTTCGACTTAAGATTAGTCAGTTCTATTTTTCAATATAATTCAGCAGTAGAATGCACAAATATAACTAAAATGTTCCTAAAAATTGTATCTAAAAAGAGGCATTAACACAACAAGAGAATGATTGAAAAATCAAATGGCCAAAAGGCTAACTTAAAGAAATATTCCACTCAAAAAATCCACCTTAGATCAAGGGAAAATTAGGGTCAACACTTCCAAAAGGAAAAATATCACTATTCTCCAATAGAAGTGTCATTTTGAATGGAAAATCCATCGGAAACTTGTTCTTTCTACCTTCGAACAAAAAGCTCATCCAAAACACTCAAAAATCTTAGAAGCCCACCCCCCACAAAAAAAATAAAAAATAAATAAAATAAAATCAACAAGAAAGCTGGCTTTTAAAAATCGTTTGTGTTTTTTAATTCAACAACATTACTTTCAAGAGTAAATATAAATTAGCCCATTATAATAAGCGTTATAGGAGATAGAGATGCTTTTATATTTGATGCAATCTTCATTGATATCATAGCTTTCTATTTCATTTTTATATATTTGCATCCTTCACAGGGACATAGTTGGGTCTTTGATAAGAAATGGTTAAATTTTTTCTTCAAGAGAGAAAATTAATACATAAGTTATTTGACTGTCAAAAAAAATACCAATTATCAAAATTGAGTAATTAAGAATTAAAGTAGGTTAATAATGGTTGATCTGAGATGCTAGTGTATTTTGTGTTTGAATTAATTTCAAGAATTTGCGTTATTATTTTTAATTGCTTATTTTCATAGATATTAAGATATAATTGTGTGTGCTGAATTAGAGCCATGTTTTTAATTAAAATGAAAATAGATTGATAATCAATCAATGGGGTTAGACACTAGTCATTATTGTATCACTTATTAACCATTACACGATAAAATTGAAAATAATAATTGAGAGAAAAAATGTACAATACGATTAAGTTTCATCTAATACTCTAAGAGCATTTCTAAGAAATTCTCTATTTTTAAATAATATATTTTATTATTTGGAAAATATCTATAGATTTAGAGAGTTAAAATTTTGAAGTACTCCAATAAGATCTTTATATTTGACACTTAATTTTATTACTCCCAAAAAACATTTATTATTTTTCTCCGTCTTTTATTTTAACTAGTTTTTCTTTAATTATTTTCGTACATTGAAAATTAAAACAACTTTGAATATATTTAATTATAGAGAGTGGAAAATAATAAAAATGTTAATTTAAAGAGTTATTTAGAACATGATTTTAAGGATTAAATCTTTAAAATAGAGAGCGTCTTATATTTAAAAAGTATATTGGAGATACTCCTAACAATTCATAAAGCCTGCTCGCTCCTTTTTTAATTTTTTCCGTGTTTACAGATATCATTATTTCAAGGATTTTTCTCTTCTTCTTATTTTTTCTTCTTTTGGCGTCTTCCTCACAAGAATTCATTTCCAAATTCTGAATGCAACTGAAAGTTTTCTAACACTGCATTTGTTTAAAACTGATGACTTCTGATATTCATAATTTTACACTATCACTGTAGACTCTTAAAACGTTGTCATAATTTGTCCAATCAAAAACATCGTACTGCTTTTACACGTGTCAAAGCCACGTGAAGTCGTCTAACTCGTCTATCAACCCTCCACCTCGGCTGCACAGATCCCAGCATGAAAATTTTCATACAAGTGGCCTCATCGATCATGTAACATGGTTCTATGGATTCCCAAGATTTCTACTTTGTCAATCCAAATGGTGGTCCTAGGAAGTTCGCAGAAACCCATATTGACTTCTCTATTTCTGAGAGAGGCTCTATCTCGGGAGTTCATAGAAGAATCCAAAAAGTCTTGCAAGCGAAACTGTTGTTTCAGATATAAGAATCGCACTTCTCGAGATTATATCATGTGGCCATGTTTGGTTGATTACAGTCGTTACTACCGTAGTCGCCCTACGTGACATATATATGGCAGTTAGTAATTTGATGAATTGTCACATGTATACCACGTAGATTAACTACAGTAGTGAGCAATTACAAATAACATTATTCTCCGTAAACAGTACTAGACAACTCTTTTTGTTGCATTGTGTCCTTGTTTGGAAAGGTGGTTGCGGAAAATTTTAACTCTTTTAAAGTAACGCGTGATATTAAACAAAATCGCACAATTTAAATGAATATATTTAACTTCTTTTTATCACATTGTTTCCTCATCGGGAAAGGATTCAGTACTTCTCGCAGAAGTTTACTCCTTTAAAGTAATGTAGTATAATCCCTTCACGTGTTTCTATAGCTTCCTAGATGTCAACATTTCTTGAATTATTCCCTATGAAAATTCCATGTATTTTTTAAGTGCCTTCCATTTATAGAATGTTTTGTAGAGAGAGAGAGAACCTTAGTTTGGGATTCCGGGGTAAGTTGTAGTTTCTTCCCACCTTCATTCTTTCAAACTTCCGTAACAATCACCTTTCCTTTTCAAGAAACTCCTTTTTAACCCACCATCTCCCGTAGCTAAGTTCGCTGAACCATGTTAAATTTGAGTTTTTTCTCTGTTCAACTCGTTGTGCTTTGTTGTTTTTCTAGACTCGATACGGTGATTTTTTCGAACACATCCCACTACTTATACTGTATTGTCCTTCTGTTTTCAGGTGATGATGAAGATGGGGACCAATCACGTGGAGATACAACAACAAGAGCTGAAAATAGAAGGTGTTTCGTTTATAGTAAGTTCAATGCTGTACATTTTCCTTGATTATTACCATAGGCAGGTTGAATAATAAATTGCTTAATTTCCACTTAAAAATGTTTTTTGCTATAAGATTGTGAATCAGAGAATGTTTGTGTACAGAAACCACAGGGACTTGGTTGCAAGGAAAAATGTTTTTGCTCTCACAAGCAACTGGAGATCCCAAAGAGCCCTAATAATGCCATGGAGTTCTTGTGTCGATCATGGAGCCATTCTGCCTCTGATTTCCTAAATATATTTTCATCCAGGGTGAGACTGTACTGTTTATACATGACAAACTAATTTTTTTTTCTCTGTTTGTAAAAAGGAAAATCGAGCAAAGTGATCAACGACCACTTTACCTCTAGTCGATGTGTATTGTGTTAAAAGTTAAAACTCACCGTCGTGTTCTTACCCTTTTTATCTTAACCTGCTTTGAGTGTTACCTTGTAGAATGCGTTCACGATCTATCCTAGGAATCTCAAAAGTCATCAAATTTTATGAATACCATACATGTTACATGAGCATGTTCAACTTTCAGTGGAGTGGTCACCATATGCAACTAACTTAGTTATATATTTCATAATTATTTTCCATTTTCCCTCGTTTTTGACGTTAAATTGAATACTAAAGGCCTTAACAAGTCAAGACATCAATGAGTTCATTCAACCTCCTTCACCTAAATGTGCAGAAGATCTTAGAACCTGGTGATATAAACAGAATAGAAGAACATGAAGAGCACGAATATGACAACATGACTAACATCCCAGGAAAGTATAGAGCTACGATCAAGGAGGACAACATTCGGGTAATCATCAATTTTTTAAGCAAACTCTTAAGAAAAGAAATCATATCAATTATTCAACAAGTTTGGTAAATAGAACCGGACGTGGACAATTCTTCTTTTTCTTAGAACGTGTTTGGTAGTCAAAACATACTTTTTATTCACGTATTTCGTAAAATCCACAATTTACTACGCACTCATTATTCACATATTCCATAAAACTCACTACTTGTAAGTACTTAAAAACACAACCACATAAGCACTTTAATATTGTCGTTCAATACAATCCATCCTACCAAAAAAATTAAAAGATCTTCAAGATCCTAACACCTTTCTTGTTTATTAATCCATACATTGGATTGTGATGTTCCATGGAATTCAATCACGTAAAGACTTGGCTGAAGGGGAAATCCTTGAAAAGCTTCTTAAGATCGCGAAAAGAGAAAAAGAAAGAGGAAACCCGACTCCGAACATCGCAATTACATGCTGCACTTTCACTCACACAGCTTGCTGTAGCCATTGCTGAAATAAGCAGAGGAAAACAGGATTTCACTCAAGTCGACAAAGGCACGTCTGGGGCAAATGGTCGGGGTATGGGTGAAGTAGTAGCTTCAGCTGCAGCTTTGGTATCCACAGCATTTGCTGAAGCAGCAGAATCATTGGGTGCACAAAAAGCCCAAGTTCAAGCAGCGGTTAATTCCGGCATGGCCATCCAAACTCCAATCGATATGATCGCAGCGACAGCAACAGCAGCAACATGTACACTTTTACATATTTCCATCTTTACTTCCCTTCTAACAGGAAAAAAAATAAAAAATAAAAAGGGCTAGAAATATCATCTATTGTATTATACCGTCTAGTATAGCGTAGCAAAATGGTTTTTTGTTCGAAACAGAAAGACCTTTTTCTCATCATTTTCATGCTACAACAGGTCTAAGAGGAGCTGCTATTCTAAGATCAAGAACCATGTCGAACTCCCTTGCTAGCACCCAAGAGATGATCAGAATGGATGCTCAAATATGCATAATCATGCCATCAGGTTGGAAATTTGACCATACTCCATACCTTTTCTGTATACCACGATAAGATAACCAAGCAGGAGAATGATTCATGCAACTACATTAGTTCTTGGGTTGCATATATGCATGTGATGTTAATGGCTAAGCAAACACAACAACTCTGCACGCAGGACGTAAAGAATGCAGGAGGGTCAATGTCTATATGAAGCAGAAACATCTTACAGTGATTTTCAGAAAGAAATACTTCAGAGGAGCACTAGCATCTTCCAAGGAGTGTACGTCACATTCTTTCTTATCCATTGACGAGCTGATCAAATATATGTATCTACATCTTTTTGGGTTCTCTTTCTTGTCCCCTGATCTTTCAGAAAGATACTAAATATAACAAACATAGAGATCAAAGGAAGTTAATACTTACATCATTCCTCTTTCGCAGATAAGGTTGTCAGCATTTTGGAGACTGGGGAACATCAGGAATACTCTTTTCTCAGTCTAAAGACAAACAATGGTGTCATTAAGCTGCTATTTGAAGACAAGATGCAAGCAAGAATCTGGATGTCGACAATTTTTAATCTCTTTGAGATACACAGCCCCTACTGGCTAGAAAGGAACAAGGATTATCACTTGCACTCATCTAACACCATAGTTTGATAAATCCAAGATCCCAGGTTGGAAATCAGTTTGAGATCTACTGTGCAGGAGAATATTAATTACATAAAATTGCAATTGAGCATCCAAAAGAAAGAAAAAATATTTCACAATTGCTCATGATGAAAAATTTGTACAACAAAAGTGATGTTACTTTCATTTCTCAACCTAAAAATAATAAGACATCATACCTCACCTATGATACATAGGATACTTGACACCTGGTAATTTGTGATGTGAAAAAAAAAAATGTACTATATCATTATTATATCATGTTTAGTATTACATCATTGCCTATGAATACTGCCTGTAGAGGGCATCAATATCCATCTGGTGATCTTTATTTCTCTTCAAATTCAACATCAATGACATCCGCTTCATTGTTTTTCGAAGAGGGAGTGGTACCTCGGCTGCCTTTTGAAAAGAAGTCACCCTGTGGCTGCCATACAATGTTTCGACAACTTACACAACGAACCGTTTGGCTCTTGTATCCAACAAACTGCCTCCTACACGCCGGGCATTCTCCCTGCTCAGATAAATTAATACACCCGTAAAACATACGCGCTCATACTAATTACTACGGCACCATTTCTGTGATTAGGGATCTAAGCATGCATTAGATCACAAATGAAAAAAACAGGGAAGGGATGACAAAGCTAAATGCCAGAATAGAACCAATTTAAATTTATATGAACTTTTGCTGCGGTAATAGAGTAAAAATATTATCCAGAGGAGGCAACCAGGGGTGTCTACAGAAATAGGGCCTCTTGCCCTTATGGCATTTGCAAGCTATAGAAAACCTGAGCTTCACTCAGACATTAAATTATAAGATCCATCCAAGGCTAATATGTCTTCACAGTTCATTTAAATACAATTGTAGTTTCTATTGTTTAAAATCAATAGGTTTGGAATTTAATTGGTGTTTTGGTATCAAAACAAATGTAGAAGCACAGTGTCTAAGGTTGGAATATTTATGACGACTTCTTGCTTGACTAAGTTGCAGTAGACAAGTCATAAACTCAATAATAGACAACCAAGGGCAACAAACTATAACAAGAACAAGAAATAGCCAAAAAAGATATTTTGATTATAACATTAACAATCCAATGGTTGAGCATTTCCAAGGCTGTGAAGAGTGAATGCAGTTAAACAGGGCCTTTTACACCTAAAAACTGTGAAAAATGGCATATAGATTTCTTTATCTTTTTTGTTGACAAAATATTTTTCATAATTAAGAGCATGTTTGGGAAGTGTTTATAAACGGTTTATAATATAAATAGATAGAAATAAGTAGTGGAGAAGTTGGTAGTACTTGTGGGTCCCTCCAAATGTGAAGATAAAAAGTGATTTGAGCGTTTATAAACAAGAGCCAAACATAGGCTAAATGTCACGCATAAGAATCTTTAATAGAAAAATTTCTGCAAAAGCCAGGAAACTGAACTTCATTATGAAAAATTTACAGTAAGAATGGCAAAAACTTATACATTAACGAGCAACTAAAAGTTGGAAGGACATACTCAAATCAGAGTTGGTCAGTCAGAAATTTCCTACTTTTTAGCATGCGGATCTTCAGCAATTTATTATAATATATGCCATATCCTGGATAATTTATCCCCAATGCACTTCCACACAAAATTCATTCAATTTACTGAAAGAACAGTAAGGTTAAGAAAGTCAAAAGAAGATGCGAACATCAAACAATTTTACCTTAACAACAAGATTATTGGCCACAGCCCCAATTAGAAGAGGACCAGCAAATGGAAGCACACAAGTGGCGAATATCAGAATCCGGAATAGCCATCCTGACAGAGCAAACCAAACGAAGAAGATTGTCTGTACAAAGATATTCAGATTTAGAATGTAAATAACCAAGACCGAAAGATTAAATCCAGTTGTCATAACACTCTGAAAGGACTTGCACAGTGATCCTAGCTAATGCATTATAGTCCATACACTGAAAAAACCCAATTTCGATTTACTTCTATTCGACAGATAGAAGAATGCTTTGAATTGATGTTAAGGCAAAATCTACTTTTCTGATATGGAAACTTTAGAATATAATTATGGTTCAGTCTCTCTGAAAATAACTAATTAGAAAGTACTATCAGCGCTTCGTGCAAATCAGAAGTAACACCAATGTTTCGTAGTTAACAATATATTTTATCAGGCATAAAAAATGTGGTCGTCATACACTAAGAAAGTTGTCATTTCCAAACCCAATTCACTTGCTTTCACAACAGAGTATGGTGGCCTTTTCTAACCTATAACTGTCTTTATAATAGAAAGATCACACTATATTTAGCTTCCAAATTTACAAATTTATATCAGGATATATTTAATAACAAACCTATGAAACTAGACAGTAATCATAAACACATAAGTCATATGTCTAACAAAACAGGGCTAACGAAAATGTGAGTTATACTTACAGAAAAACTCCTGCCCAACGGCGTCTCAAGAAAATCACTGAACTGCCTCCTGTACTGCAGAGACAACAAGTAACAGAACTATATTACTAACCAAAATCCCAACTTCAAAATGAACATCAATTTCGTGCAAGTAATTGCACCAAAAATATACTCAATTACAGAAACATCATCTTTTTAAGATTGTTTAGAATACGGCTACTAGCATTAACAGACCGTCGGCCAATTTGTACTAAAATCAAGATAGAAAGTCCGCCACCGCTGCGTAATTCCGAACTCGCGGTCGAGTTCACGGGCACGGTCTGCCGCAGAATTTGTCACCTCCGAGAATCTATCCGAGACAGCATACCTCCTGTTAATACGCTCAGCTGTCTTCTTGCTCTCGTACACGAGCTGCTCAAACCCATCATTAGCCCCCCTCCAGACGTCTCTCCAGGCCTCTCCAGAGGTCACACGCTTGGCGAACCCATCAAAGTCGCTGCGCCTGAAGGCCCGAATACAATCCACATGGCGAATAGGAACGAAATTAGGTTTAAGGGTTTTGCGATAGTGATTGAAGCGTTGAGTTTTTGAGAGTATTAAAGGGTGCCTTGGCAGGCTCGACGCCATGGCCACAAACAGGGGGGACGTGTGTTACCCAAAGCCAAATGGAAGATGATGAATTATGTGGAACAGTGGAAGGCTAGAGAAGTTGTTCTAAAGATGATGAAATTCTAATTTAAGCTTTGGCAAAGTAACCCTAATTAATTTCTTTCGAGATAATAGAATATAAATATAGGCTAATGGTATTTAGGTATGACAATTCGAATTGTAAAAATTGAAAATCGCGATTAATCGAATCAAATGGAACCAACAAAACTATATCGATGGTGCAATGAAATGAATATGGTATTTGATTTTAATAACCCGATTCGAGATAGGACGAGTATAGTATTTATGTCGTTGCGCAGACCCGTCCCAAATCTATAACCTGTTAAAAACAAATTAATTGGGCAGTTGGACTTTTAATTATTCTTTCTATATTTCTGTTCACCCAAAATTCTGATCCATTATTGATTCATTAAGTCCAACTAACCTAACACAGTAACTCTACACCCTACTATACAAATATTAAATATATATGAAAATTGTTTGTTAAATTCGGATTTTACATTTGAGATTCGGATTTTACATTTGAGAATTGGGATATTGTTTGCATTTTCATTTGGGATATTGTTTGCTAAATTGGCTTCATATTGTATATTTGTTTTCATTGATTTTTTTTTCCTAGTTTTTTTTTCAGTTTGACAACTAGACCTATAAAAAATAATTTATTTTCGTGATTATTAACCATTCGAACAGAGCCGAATGCCCAAAACGATATACAAATTGAGTCGAACCCAATCAACTTACGTGGTTATGGTACGATTATGGTATAACCAAAAAATTGATGGTTCGATAATGGTTTTGGCCGAATCGACTTCGAATCAAACCATTGCCAACTCTATTGGTATTCCTGAGTGAACCTTCACTAAATTTAGTTTAATTTCAAATTTCATCGCTATGCCACTTATAAGCCTCAAATCAAAGAAATCATTTAATTGACAGTTATATTACAATTAATCTTCTGCGTAATCTCTATATATGGTATCTAAATATGGAAATATAAAATGAGGATTATGGGAATATCTTTATTTTAAAAAGTTAAAAATGTTTTTTTAACATTTTTATTAATATTATAAATAGGCATGTTACAAAACGAATTAAAATTAAAGTGAAATCCAATGATTCAAATAAAGACAAATTAAAGTTTAGTTATCCAATTAAAATTTCGTTAAATCCACTGGTGAAATTTGTGTTATTAAGGAGATCATTTCCCGCATATGTTACATATTGTATCTTTATCTATTGTTCAATTAGAGGTGTGATGTATTTTAAATTTTAATATGTTAAAATCTTGAATATTCACGTTAATAATTCTGAGTTAGTATTATAATCCACCGTTTTCTAGATTCTCTCTGCCTCAACCTGTTTTCACATGTTCTTGTATTATTAATACAAAACTCAAGTTGTCCAAAAATTATAGATCCAAAAAACAACATTTTGATTTTCTCCTAATCTAAACCAACCAGCATCAAGATCTCATCAATCTTAGGCTTAGATCTCTGTACTCGTCTATATCATCACAGAAGAACAATCACAAACCCTCACAAAATCCAGACACGAAAGGAACTCGCTTCAATGGACCAGAGTAACTTACACTTTCTCCATTCAAGCAGCAAATAAAGTCACGTTTTGAACATTCCAGTTATCTAGCGAATTATTGGGCTTGGGTTATAGGCCATTTCAATAAAGATATTGGGCAGTTTGTTAAATCCATTTGGACTGAAGGCCATTTCATCATTGCCTAATTTGTTGGTTTGGACCTGACAACCCAACAAGTCTCCACCTTAATGCCAGTAGTCGTACTAGAAGCCTATCACACTAATTTGTATATCAGCCCATCATAAAAGTGGCTTCTCAGCATTCCCAATAGGCATCAAATTTTTAATACCTAGACAGAACAAAAAAAAAACTAACCCGCATCAATGTTCAACAATTGCAAACAAGACTTAAACTTGTTTAAAGGCAGTACATTGGTTCCCATGTCAGATAGATTGTACTGAGTAGGAATTCTCTCAAGAAGTAATAATTCTTTAGAAATTAAATCTCTTTATAAAGTGCAGTTTAACATTAATATGTTTGATTTTTTCATGGAAAACAAGATTTTTGCACAAATGTATGGCACTTTGGCTATCGAAACATACTAATACAAGTTCTTTGAGTTCATTTATTTAAGTATCAAACCTTTAAGTCATAAAGCTTCCTTAATGGCTTCAGTAGTAGCCACAAATTCGGCCTCAATGGTGGATAAAGCAACAATTTGTTGAAGTTGAGATTTCTAACTAATACAAGTACCACATAAAGTAAACATTTATGTAGTTGTAGACTTCTTGTTGTCTCTATCCCTAGCAAAATCCATATTTACATAAGTACAATCTCGTCATTGCAAGCTTTAAAACCTAGTCCTAGTTGTGAAGATTCCTTCAAATACTTCAAGAGTCATTTTAAAGCAATCCAATATTTAGGACCTAGATTTGCGATAAACCGACTCAAGGTACTAATGGCATGAGCCACATCTAGCCTAATACATATCACAATGTACGTCACAGACCCCACGGTATTTGCATAGGGTACTTTTCCATATACTTGACATTAGTTTTATCTACAGGACATTGTTCTTTACTTAATTTGAAATGATGGGCCAAAGATAAGTTAACATAATTAGATTCATGCACGGCAAATTTTGACAACACCTCAAGTCTCGAGGTGGCCTCACCTCATTGGGTAAGGGTGAGCCACCCGATGAGGTGGTGGCTCCTTATTTGACAGTCACATCATGTAGGATAGTATGATCGTCCTACCAAAGTTTTTCTCCTCAATCCATTCACCAAATTTTGACATTTTGTTCTTGTACTTCTTTTTTAGTGTATCTTTCTGAAACAATTTCACACATTTTCATGCATCGAAGTTAGTTAACACACGAAATGTGTAAAACAATTCTAATCATCCAATTTTATTCTTCTGCTTATGGATTTATGACAATTCTATCACAAAATATGATTGGAACTTATTTCTTATTGTAATATGATTTTATTTCTTGTTTAAATTATGACTTTTTATTTTTTTTAGGTTTTATATTATTTTTCCTTTTAGGTTTAATTACTTATCTTCGTTAATCCATCAGAATTATGAGATTATTTTGTCTATATAAATAAAGACTTTGTAATTATTATAACAACTAATTTATAATGATAAAAGTATTCACTAAAACTTTTTTAGTTCATTAAATAATTATAAGCCTTCATTTATAAGTAATTAAAATTTAAAAGAAAAGGTAATAATAAACCTAAAAAGTGTTAATCTAAACAAGATTTAAAATCTTATTACAAAAAGAATAGTCTTACATCAATCTTCCGCACTAGAAAAAAATTGTCCTCTAGTTTAGTTGAGGAAGAGAAAAGTAATCAATTGGGCCAAAAATTTTGCATCACGTTATGAGAATTCGAGTATAGCTTTGACTCAAAGAAAATTTCTAGCTCTATGTTGTCGTGTTTTGACTTATTGAAGTGGCCAACATCTATAGCTATCAAAATGTGCAAATGTTGTCAATAGCATCTTTGAACATATCCATCCTTCCTTCCATCTTCTAGATCGAGGTTGATAATTTTGCAATTCTCCAATCGTCATCCCAAAGTTTCATGTCACTACCATCATTGCCAGGCGAGGGAAAAATCTGTCTCTAATATCGGTTTTGGTGTGGAAACGGAATTTAAATTCTTGAAACTAGAATAAATTTGAAAGCTAAAAAATATTTAGCTAATAATTTGGATATAATGAATAGGTTATTGCAAAACCTTTGTTAATCATAATAGCTCAAGAAAAATAAGTAACTAGAACATAAAAGAAGAAGTAATTAAAACCTAAATGAATAAGTGCATCCGTTCTTTCTATTCATAAATTTCATACACTTATTTGAGAAATAATCGTGACCTTTAATTTAAGTCAATACAATGCTCATTATCTTATGGATCTCAAGTGATTATGACAAACTCTCCCATGATCTTAGTGAAATACATATTAAACGTTGGATTAATTTAAATTAAAGGTCGTGATTATTTGTCAAATAAGCGTGTTAAATTTCTGTGTAATCTAAACAAAAAATAAAATCCTATTACAACAATAAATAATTCTATATCCTATTTGTAATAAAATTGCCCTACACCTAGCAAGTAGGGGGAAATGTTTCTTCTCATTTTTGTGCTGATATTCATTCTGGTGTCTGAATTTATTATAATCTGGATATTGTTGTTGGTGTTGAAAATTTACTTAATCGTACACAGCGAAAAATAAACAATATACACTATTTCAATTCTCATCACGAATTCGTTTTATGTTTAGATAGAAATTATGATAAGAATATTACGTATTTTATCTTTTGCAAACTCCTTTGCTAATCTTGGAACACAAACAATCACGATCTGCAATTCACAACTATCTAATTATTTAGCTTCCAATGAAAATCTATGCAGGAAACATGAATGAGAGAATTAGGACTTCATTTTTCTTGTGCTAACAAGATAATAATTGTCATGTTCTTGTTTTCAAACTATAATAGCTTATTAATATAAGTTTATTAGGGCTTGACCCGTCCCTTAAACTTAACTTGGTCAAATATTTAATTAATCAAATTGGTCCTGAATTGATTAATCTAATTAATTAACTCGGGCATGTTAACAAACAACCAAATTAATTAATTGTCCAACGCTTGTAAATTAATTATTAAATATCATTCTTCTAGTTCTCATTTTGTGTGTGACTCATTAGATTTTCAATCACATTGTCTAACAATGTGAATTATTATTTTGATCTAATCAAAATCGATAAATTAAAATACCCTTCTAGTTCTCATTTTTGTGTGTGACTCATTAGATTCCCGATCACATTGCCTAATAATGTGAATTATAATTTTGATCTAATCAAAATCGATAAATTAAAAATCCATTTTTAATTCATCATTAATTCACGTCCATCGTCTCAGATTGACATCTAGTAACGTGTTATAAAAATATATGTAATGAAAAATGTCACGTAGTATGACAAAACTAAACTTGTTCGTTTACTATGAAACTATAATCTATTCGTCAAT